TATTCTTGATATCCTCCCACAGCTTATCTGGTCTTAGTTCATTAGTGTTTAAGGCCTCCAAGCTGTTCCTGAGATCGTTTTTAAATTCAGGTAGGATAGACTGGAGGTCAAATTTTGGCTCTTGTGGATTTAATTTTATTTACCTTCAGCTTGAACCTAAATACAATTGCTTGATGGTCTGTTCCATAATCAGCATATAGCCTAGTTTTCCTAACAGTAAGCTCCTCCAAGGATCCTTTCCACAGATATAATCAATCTGATTCCTGTGTAGGCTATTAGATGATGTCCAAGGATCCTTTCCACAGATATAAACAATCTGATTCCTGTGTAGGCTATTAGATGATGTCTACGTGTATAGTAATTTGGGGCTCTTATAAAAGGTATTTACAATGAATATATCATTGATTGTACACAATCTTATTCTATCTCCAGCCTCATTTCTGTCACCAAGTCCTTGTTTTCTGACCAATTCTTATTCCCTGTTCCCAACTTTTGCATTCCAGTCCCCTATTATGAATGGATCTTGGTTGCATGTTCTATCAATTTCTGACTGCAAAAGTTGATAGAAATAATCTATTTCCTCCTCTTTATCTCTGGTTGTTGGTACATATATTTGAATGATAGTGGAATTAACCGGTTTTCCTTGTATGTATATGGATATTATCCTGTTGCTCGCAACATTGTATTTCAAAATGAATCTAGAAATAGTATTTTTTTTAAATTTTCTTCTAGTTTATTTACAAAATTTGAATACAAATAGAAATGGCCTTCTTAATAATACAGTCTCATTTCCCTCACCTTTTTATTTCCAATATAGAACATCAGCAGTCAGGAAATCTAAAAGAGAAGTTGCTTTAGGAAAGTTGGTTGTCAAGAACCTTGTCAGAGTGTTGAAGAGCAAGGATTTTAGTCTAGAGATTACAGTGTGCCTGATACAGACCATGGTCTTCACAATTACTTGTTATGCATCAGAGAGCTAGATTTTGACTAAGGATGACAGAAGAAGAATTGATACCTTTGGTTGTGGTGCTGGAGAAAAGTATTGAATATACCATGGACTGCCAAGAGAGCAGAGAGGTCTGTTCTGGAGAAGATGAAACAAAGTTGCTCCTTTGAGGCAAGGATTTTGAAGCTCTGTCTCACATACTTTGGGCATGTTGACCAGAGGGAGTAGTCCTTGCAGAACGATGTCATTGGAAGCTTAGAAAGGTAGAGGGTCAGTGCAGGACAGGAAGACCTCAGATGAGAAGGATTGCTACAATAATTGGGATAATGAGGGTTGGTGTGCCATAAATAGTGAGAATGGCTCAGGATAAGGCCTGTTGTACCCAGAGTCACCATGAGTCACAGGTGACTCAACAACACATAATAATAATGATAACATGAATCCTCATATATAATTAAAGAAACTTATCTGTAGTGACAGAAAGATCAGTGATTGCCTCTCTACTGTACGAGATATGTGGAGGAACTGATTACAAAAAGAACACGAGGAAATTTTGGTGATGGAATGGCTTATAATTTTTATTGTAGTAATGCCTTCTCATAGTTAAATGTGTCAATTTATCAAATGGTCCATTTTAGATAGTGAATTTTAAGGTATATAAATTATACCTCAGTTAAATAAGCAATAAAGGCTTTAGTACTACTTAAAAAGTATCAACTTTTGTTAACTCAGTTATTGCTAGTTGCTGTCTGATTCAACTCCCAGTGACCTCACATATAACAACAAAATATAGATGTGTTTTGAGTCCATTGTTCTATTATGCCAATCTGTCTATTGAGGGTTACCTCATTTTCTCTACATTTATCAAATACAATATTCTTTTCCACTTATACGCCTTTTTTTTTTTTAACCTCTTGGTTAAAAACCAGCTCTGATCTCTACTCTATCCTGTGCCAACTTCATCATCTCCAACACCCCCATCCCGTTGCCCCAGTCACTGAGTCCATCCATTTCTTCCAGGGTCTTCCTTTCTTGCACTGGCCCTCCATCCTCCCAAGCATGCTGCCCCTCTCCAAGGACTGGTACCTCCTTCCAACATGGCCAAAGTATGTCTGATGGAGCTTCAGAATTTTTGCCTCCAAGGAGCAGCCTGGTTTCACTCTCTCCAAGACAAATCTGTTTTTTCTCCTAGCAGTGCATTCAATACTCATCTCCAGCACCACAACTCAAAGGCATCACTACCTCTTTTATCATCTTTAGTCATTGTACAGCTTTTTGATGTGTAAAAAGTAATTATGAAGAGCATGGCCTAGATCAGGTGCACTTTAGTCTCCAGACTGACATTGTTGCTCTTCACTACTCCAGAGAGATCCCTGCTAGTTATAGCTTCTTGTTGTTGTTCTTATGTGTCATCTAGTCATCTGTGACTCATAGTGACCTTATGAAAAACAGTTCTGAAGCTTGCCCTGTCCTGAGCCAATCTCACTGATCCTGACACACCTATCCCCATTGCCCCAGTTACTGTATCAATCCATCTCATCCAGGGTCTTTCTCTCCTGCACTGTCCTTCTACCCTTCCAAGCATAATGTCCTTCTCTAAGGACTGGTCCTTCCTGGCCACGGGCCCAGAGTATATGAGACAGCGTTTCAAAATCCTCGCCTTCAAGGGGAAACTTGGTTTCACCCTCTCCATGGCAGATCTATTTATTTTCTTGGCAGTCCGTGATATGGCAAAGACTCTTCTCCAGCAATACAACATAAAGGCATGGATTCTTCTTCTGTCATTATTAATCAATCATTGTCCAGCTCTCTGATGTATAGCAAGTAATTGCAAAGACCATGGTCTGGATCAGGTTCACTTTAGTCTCTAGACTGACATTGTTGCTTCATAGTTCTTTGGAGAGGTCCTTGACAGCAGACTTTCCCAGTGTAATTCATCTTTTGATTTCCTGACTACTGGTGCCAAGAGTGTTGATTATGGAGCCAAGCAAGCTGTAATTGTTAACAACCTCCATCTCTTCTCCATCTATCATGGTGCTGCCAATTGGCCCAGTGATCAGACTCTTTGTCTTCTTGATGTTGAGTTTCAATCCGTATTGAAGACTACAGCTTAAGTAGCTTAATTCTTGGTTCTTTCCTGTTTGTCATTGTTCTTACTGTTCTGTCTGTTCATTGTATGGACTTATGGATTGCTGCAACATTTATTTTTCATGATGATATTACTTCAGAGTAAACAAGAGAAAGTATACAAGACCTTCAAGGAGATGAATTGACACAGAGATTGTAACAATGTGCCTGGCATGGCAGAGATTGTGAAGATGGTGTAGGACATAGTAAAGTTTGGATCTGTTGTGAATAACAATGGAGCCAGCATCCAACTAGAACATAACAAAATAAGGCCAAGTCACTTACATTTATTCCTAGGAAATATTTGTGTATTTCTTCTATAATTTATTTACTCTTCTGAAAGTCAGTAGTATAGTCTTTGACCGTATCACTGTTCCAGTAAATCAATTGTTTTCATTTGTCATAATGTTGCCTACTGGTTCAGTTTGAAGCTTCTATGTTCTGGTAGCCAAAAATAGCAGCAGCAGCACCAATAACAAACCAAAAACCATAAAACAAATCCATTTTTGAGCAATGTAAGGAGAATGGTGTGTTAAGACATTCTCAGATAACAATGAACTACATTTTAATTTGTATTAGGAAGGGGAGAAAACAGAACTTCTGAATTTAGGGAGCAGCAAATGATTGGTAAAGAGATAAACCAGGAATGAAAACACGGAAAGTAGACACAAGCCTGCAACTACACAGTCTCACTTCGAACTCTTTAGATTTTCTCGGCTGGTGGCTTCATGTGGATGAACATGTTAGAACTCCTGGCAGGCTCTAAATCAGATAGAATAGCTCTTCCATGAGTTATCTCTGGCAGCTGGAAAACTCCATGCTGGGACGTTAAATCAAAACAATAAGGGGCCCCTTTTCCGCTCCCCCACCCACCCGCATCTAAGCGCCCCGCCATGCTCTCTGTCGCCCCCTCGTGGCGAGCGCTCCGGGACGGGCGCCGGGAAGCGGTGGCGGGAAGGTGTCTGCAGAAAGAGTCACTGCAGTGCACAGAGCACTGCTAGATGTTTTTGCCTTTCCTGCCTTGGGGCACCAATCTCTCTCCCCTGGAATTCACTTTCTCAAACCCACTGCTTAGTCGGGTTCCTCTCTGCTTCTGTCTTGGTTGAGGTCTTGCTGCGTGGCATTCGGAATATGGGAGCTGTGGTATTTCGCAGTGACCCATGGGTGTCAGACAAAACTTCAAACACTTTAGACGCGAAAAGGCACAGATTAACTCTTGCTATCCTGGAGGACTGATAATTCGAACCTAAACCCCAAGGAAATGAGGGGAGAGGGAATCCGGAAGAATTTCTTGAAATCTTAGTTTCCTCGTTCTTTTCTTCTTACTTTAGAATGTACCTTTGCTTCTCCTATATATTGATTTAACACTTTTCCATTGCGTTGTGAAGATTTGGGTCTTTCCCTTGGTCCCCAGCCCTCAAGTGGCTCGCAATGTGCAGTCCAGCCACCAGGGCCGGATCACCTGCCCCAGTGCCGGGTGGGCGGGGCGAGGGGCTGCGCCCGGCGGAGAGTATATTGAAGGGGGGAAGTTAGGTACTGACAGATGCGCCCCACCTCTGGTTTCTGGCCCGGGGGAAGAAACTGGAAGAGGGTGCCTTGGTCCAGGGGCGGGGTAGGTGGGTGACTAGAGGGTGAGACAGAACCTAGAGTGTTGTGTAAGCCCTGGGGGCTTGGCTCTCCACCCACCCTGCGGGGCTGTCTGTGGGGGTCTGCAGAGTCTCCCGGGAGCCTGCGGGGAGGGACCCCTGCCGCGAGGAGGGGGCGGGGCCGCGGGGCACCCCACTGCCCCGGCGCTTGCGCTGGCCTCGCCCAGGACCGGCTCGCGGGTCCCCCGAGGCTCGGCGCGCAGGGCCACCTCCTCCCGCCCGCCCCTTCCCGCGCGCTGCCTCCGCCCCCTTCCTCTGCCTCCACCCTCACCCCTTCCCCGTCGGTCCGGAGCGAGGCTCCCAGCCCTCAGTGTGCCCGAGCTCTGGATGTGGGCCCCCGGCAAGTGCATCGCGCCGCCACCCAAGATGGACAGTCGGTACACCAGCACTGCGGGCATCGGGGACCTGAACCAGCTGAGCGCAGCCATCCCAGCCACGCGGGTGGAGGTGTCGGTGTCCTGCAGGTGAGGACGCAGCCCTTCCTCTCCGCTCCCTCTTCTCCGCGCGGGAGCGCTTACCAAGCGCTAGGGTGACCCCGAGGGGCTGCGGAGGAGGAGAAGTTGCGCGTTGAGTGGGCAGCACCCCAGCTGTGGGCTGGCTTGGGCGCCGCGGGTGCGCGTGGGGGGCAGGTGAGCGTGTGGTGGGCTCCGGGACTCTTTGGCTTTTCTTTTTGGCAAATGCCTTAAAAGTTCTTTGGGCTGTGACTCAGCTGGGAGCTCCCTGGCCACCGCGCCCATTTACGAGACCTTTTTTACTTCCCAAACCCGAGTTGGGTGACTGGGCGCTGACGGGAATCGGAAGGGACAGGGCTGCCAAAAGCCCTTGTGACCGCTGTCCGCTGCACGCAGGGCTCCGGAACTCCCTCCGCTAGGTGTGTGCAAACGAGCTGCAGCCGCGTTGGCTCGAATCTCCGCGGCCTCTTCCCACCCACTTCCCGGAGTCATCCAGCGGCTCCCTCGCCCCTACCATTCCGGGCTTTCCCCCCTTTCCCTGCCGCCTGTGTAGTAGGATTTTGGCACCAGCCCTCCTTGCAGAAGATTCTTTGCCTTACCTAAGATCTGGAAAGTCACGACTTTCTGCCTGACGGTGCACACATTTCAGGAGGTACTTGGAACTGCCTGAACTACCCTGCTCAGGGACTGTGCATTTCAAACTCCTTTTCCTGACGCTATGTAGGCCAGTTTCTGTATAAATAAAACCAGTCATTTTAATAACCGGTTTATTTATACTTTTTACTAACAAATCAATTGTATACTTTATACTTCTTTATACAATTATTGGAAGTAATTGTTACATCGTGCAAGATTTTGAGGAGACTGGAGGAGTACACTAAATTACTGATCATGGCAACAGAAACAGAGGCAGAATTTACCCGTTTTATTGGCTCCAGAGTCAACATCTCTCCAAGCATATGCCTTGTTTGCATATTTTGATTTCTTAGTGGAAAACCCTCTATTAAATGTATTCTTCTAAGATGTTTTGATACCCTGAAATCCTCCCCTTCCTATCCCTCGCAAAACCTGTCTCTAAGAATCTATTAAACATGGGTAATTTTCGATGTAAATAAGTACTACAGCTGAAAATGCCACCAACCCTGTGGTACTTGATTTTGCGTTTTCACAAAACTAAGCCCGAAGCCAAAGGAATCAATTTCTTTTTTGTGGCATTCCAAGCACTAACCACCTCAGTGGAGGTGTTATTGAAGGAGAGAGTCAAGCCTTTAGCTGTCCCTAAAACTATATCACATAAGTACTTGCTTCCTTTTAAGGCTGACCTCAGATGTGGAAATAATAGTGCTGATTATAATAGCTGACATTAAACTCTCTTGCCTACTGCAAGCACTGCTGTTAGTGCTGCCTGAAACCTGGCAGTTGAATAGGTAAAGCTATGTACAATGAAGCAAAACTCTTTGGCCATTAATCTCTAAGTCTTTTCTTCTCTGAAACTAACTTTGGGTGCTACAGGGAATTTATTGATTATATATATATATAAATACATTGCTCAGCGTCCTACAAGTGTTTTTTTATCCTCTGCTGAACCTTCTGCAGAGTCTGAATGACATGTGTTTTAGTGGTCTGTCTGGCCATTGAACATTGAACAATGTTGCAAATTAAATCTCAAATTCACATAAGGGTAATGAAGAAATTACAGCTAAACTTGTCTTTCCACCAAAAGGACCCACAGTTTATTTAAACTCATTTATTTTGATATTTGTTTGCTGTGTGATAGGATCCTTAAGTGAATTGACTTAAGTTATTTTGTTTCAGTTTGCTACCTCAGACCCTAGAGTTTACTGTTTTAAATACTAATGCCTTACAGTTTTGTTAGTAATTATGAAGCTTTCCAATAGAAAACAATCCTGAAAGAAAGCCCAGATACTTCTAGTGTCAAACATCTCCTAGGCCATCAGTGTTGCTGTCAATTCAGATTACAGTTTATTCCTTGGTCAGTTTAATGTAACAAGTATCATGTGGGCAAGAGATACATACTTAAATTAGTATCTTTTGAATAGATTCAGTAGTTGTTTTAAATTGTGGTTTGGGTGAAGATTTGCATATATATCGCAGTTCGTTTCTCTATTCAACAGATTGTACATTCACACCGTTGATTGCAACCCCTACCTTAAAACACTATAGTTGAGTGATTCATGAAAAGGTGGGTGACTTTTAATTTTGTATGTTTGAAAATGGAACCTTGTGACCAATGGAAGTAGTGTAGCTTGAAGGCTTTGGCATTAGAGACCAAGGCACAAAATCTGGCTTTGTGACTTATTTTTGTTACCTCATAGCAAGTTCTTACTTAATCTCTCTAAGCTTCCTTATCTCAAAAATTAGATAATTATGGTATTTATATAGTGTTATCAGAGTTTACTAGGAAAAAATGTGTGAAAAGTGCCTACAAAACGAAAATACTCAAGAATATTAGCTATTATATTATTACAAACCATACTTGTTGAATAAATGTAGCGGAAATAATTCTAGTAAGGAATTCTGTACATATTTTATCTTTTAAGAAATGAAGTAAATTGCTTAAAGAAGGCAAATGCAGAATCAGCCTTGGGATCCCTGCTCCCTGATTGGATTTTTCTTTTTCCTTCCTAGCTTAAGAGCTTATTTCCTAGAATGTTTGTAGGTATTTCACTGTCCAACAGAAGAAACAGTTGCAGCTCCTTCCTCTTGTTCTCAGCTTAACTGATGAGCGCAAGGGAGCTCTGGTGCCCTAGTGGATAAAGGGTTGTACTGCCAACACAACAGTGGGTGGTTTGAATCCACCAATGGCTCCTTGGGAGAAGGTCAGGCAGTTTTCCTCTGTGGGATTTACTGCCTCTGAAAACCCACAGGAGGGACAACTCCTCAGTGAGAATGAGCTGTTAATGAGCACCAGCAGGGGAAGAGATTTCCTTGCCTTACCCTGTCAGAGAGCTTTGATGATTTGCAAATACCTAAAAAAAGAACCCCAGAAGAGGTGGGATACCTTTCCATAACCATCTTTTACACTTCATAGTTAATGTAATTTTTTTTAAGCTCTTTGGTTTTTGTATTCAGTCTGGGGGAAGTGAGAAGAGTCAACAACTGAAGTTGGAAGTAAAATATAATGCATGGAAATAATCTATTTACTCATCAAGTGTTTGGGTGCTTTTTTTTTTATATGCTGAGCATAATGCAAAACTCTAGTAATTTAAGAGAATTCTCCTCTATGAAAATGTCATATTGGGTTGGGAACATACTATTGCATTTATGGAAAAGAAAACTAAATGCAGAGGTAAGACAAACCCCCCGACCCACACACACACATAGGGAGGGAGGGGATCCCGGTGGATGGAACTGAATGCTCTGGGAGTACACTCCCAAGAAGAGATAAAGTTTAAGAGGATCATATTTAGATTAAAAAACTCTCAAAACGGAAGTATAACAGTTTACAAAGTTCTGCGTATCTCTTATTGCCATTGATTTGAGACTGACTCATAGTTGACCCTCCAGAACATTTCTGAGGCCATACACCGAAGGAGAGGAGATTGCCTGCTTTTTCCAAGAGGAACTCCTGGTGGAGTTGAACTGTCAAAGAGTGTCTACTTTACAGTGAGCAGTTCAAGCCCTTACCCTATGAACTGTGCTACCTGAGCTCCCTTGGATTAGAGAAAGAGCAGTGTAACTGGAGGTTTCATAGTGGACAGGTTTCTATAGACTGAATTACATGCCCCCAGAAATGTGTGTTGTAAATCCTAATCTCATTGCCTGTGGTTATAATTCCACTAGGGAATGGGTTGTTTTGACTATGTTAGTAAGGAAAGATTAATGTAGAGGATGTCATTAGTGAATCTCTTTTGAGATATAAAATTATTAAATAAGCAGAAGAGAAATGAGGTAACACAGGTGCTGAGACACAGGGGATCTCCAAGGAAACAGAAAACAAGCTGAAAAAATAAGGACCTACTTGTAGAACCTACAGAGACACAACTTTCCCTTGGAGCTGGTGCTCTGAATTCAGAGCAGTGCCTTGGTGGCCTAGTGCATAGGGAGTGGTACTGCTAATCTAGTGGCCACACCTCTCTTGTGGTTTAAACCCACCAGTGGCGCATTGGGAGAAAGATGGACAATCTCCTTAAAGCCATCCACCTGTAATGTTTCTTAGTTATGTTGCTGCTGTTGTTAAGAGACCTATGAAGGAGAGTCCTCAGCGCTTGGGTGTTTCTCATCCTCTCTCCAGGTTCATAGGGTTTCCAGAGACTAGCTGTTACGGAAGTGGATGCCACTCCTGCTTCCAAGCTTGTTTTAATCAGGGAGCTCCACCCCGCTCTCTGTCCGCATTGGGTTATCAACCATTAATGCATTGGACACATTCTTAGTTCTAGCAGCTCTAAATATCTAAGACAGAAAATGGTAACAGAAGAGGTGTTACTAGTTATGAGAAGCTAGATATAATTACATACCTCCCAGGACTGAGATACTAGGCTTGAAGATCCCAGTCTTTGGGGACTTCTAGATCAGATGGTTTAACATAAATGATAAATTCGGTGTTCTACATTTCACTTCAGTAAGTGGTGACTGGAGGCTTAAAAGCTTGCAAATAGTCATTTAAGTTAAAACTATGAGTCTCTTTCTGTCAGGAGCAAAGAGTGAAGAAAGAAAATCTCAAGAAACCAAACAGATCAGAGTTTTAATGGATCATAAGAACCACAACCTCCAATAACTTAAAAAAAAAACCCCAAACAAACCACACTACATGGTGTCTGGCTACCAGCAACAATATCTCTGATAGAAGATTCCAGATACCATGAGAGACAAATGTGGGAAAATATTCCGATTCATAAAAAGACCAGACTTACTGCTCTAAAGAAGACCAGAGGAGCCTCCAAGAATATGACCTTTAGATACTTTCTAATTTAGAACTGAAGCCCCTACCTAAGAGACAGACCTAAAAAGTGGACACTGATATCCAGGAGGAGCGTGCTTTTCAGAAAAAA